ATGGATTTGCGCATGATTTTGGTGCAGGCAACTAACTGCATAATTTAATTAGAATAAGTGGCAGCCAGCGTCCCCATTATATGCTTTTTTCTTTTAATAATGAAGAATAACAGTATTATGCTACAATATTCAAGGTTTTCGCTCCTTGCAGTATAAAGTGACTTGTGAAAAAGTTAATAATACATATTTAATAACATGTAATTATTATTTATATCGAATTAACAAAGGTCTGGGAACGTTTGGTGTACCTGTTTCGAAGAATGTTCGTTGAGTTATCAGCATCGATCACCTTATTAAAAGAATTCTCAGTCACTCCGGGGAGATAACATTATTCGAACTTGTCTATAAGTAGAATAGCATTTCATGCCATTCTCCACCCAGTTAAACAAAACAATAGAGAGAAGCTGACAAGGCCAGGGATCGGATCTGCATATATCTAAGATAGTTACAATGACTTTCGTTAAGGAAGCACCGAAGTCGCAAGCTTCGGGTCAGCATAAAGAAGTGAATCATAAGAGTCTCCTACAAAGCGATGCTCTTTATCAGGCAAGTCTTGGAAATACATATACTCCCTTCACCATATATGCCTTCTAGCTAGCTAACATTATCCATCATTGATCCTTGCGTTTTATGAACAATGTGCACGCTTTTGTGCAGTATATACTGGAAACCAGTGTTTATCCAAGAGAGCATGAGTGCTTAAAGGAGCTGCGAGACATAACAGCAAAACACCCTTGGTACGCGCAGTATATATCCCAGTTTCATAATTTTCTCCCAGATATCCCAAATAATAATCAGAATCATTCTGTTCTTAGCTAATTCAATATGAATATACATAACAACGGGAGAACATATTGTAAAACAGGAACTTGCTGGCCGTGTCTGCCGACGAAGGTCAATTTCTGAACTTGTTGGTGAAACTCATCAACGCCAAGAACACCCTTGAAATTGGCGTCTTCACTGGTTACTCTCTTCTCGCCACAGCCCTTGCTCTTCCAGAAGATGGAAAGGTCCCTTATTTTAAATACCTGCTTTCCCTTGTCATCAAACACAAACGTTGTATATACAAGTTCCTGTTCTACTGTATATGATTGTCCCTTCATTACAAGAAAAATGATCTCAGTATGTCTGTTTCATGCCTTTAATATTTCATTTTCAGATATTGGCTTTGGACGTCAACCGCGCAGATTATGAGTTGGGGCTACCTGTAATTGAAAAAGCTGGTGTTGCTCACAAGATTGACTTCAGAGAAGGACCTGCTCTTCCTGTTCTTGACCAGTTGCTAACTGATGTATGTGTCTCAATTAATATGACTTTCTCAGATTAAAATAACGTTGTTTCCCACATGCATGTACTTAATTTATTGTCTTGTGATGATCATTTTGCAGGAAAAGAACAAGGGAGCCTTCGATTTCATATTTGTGGATGCGGATAAGGACAATTACCTGAACTACCACAGGAGGGCCATTGAGTTGGTGAAGGTTGGGGGACTGATCGGCTACGACAACACCCTATGGAACGGCTCTGTTGCGGACCCACCAGAATTACCTCAATTGGATTACATCAAGTATTATCGTGGTTTTGTGCTGGAGCTCAACAAGGCCTTGGCTCTTGACTCTCGGATTGAGATCTGTCAGCTTCCTATTGGTGACGGCATTACCCTGTGCCGCCGCATCATCTGATAACTACCTTTTTAAATTATACTAGTATGTAATTAATTTCATTTTCAACACAGCTAAAAGAATAATACGGGAAATATATGTTAAATTTGGTTGCGAGGATATATACTTCTCCTGGTTATAGTGCGGTCTCTGTTTGATTGATCTGTATTCCTGGAATTGGTCATAATTCCTTTTTATTTTTGCTTTTGTTTTTAAGTTTTACAATGCTTTCGTTGTTTTCGTTTGGTGGACGAATTGGAACTCGGGAGGTGATATAATTATTCGACAATTTTGCTTGTAATTTTGGAAGGACTTTATAAAATTAATTGCTACAAGTGGGCTTTTGAATTTGATGTCCAGCGAGCTGAAGAAAGAGAGATGAAAGTAGCATGGTGGAACTTTTAAATATTTACTTTTGTTCTTTTTTTATTCTCTCTCTTAATTGACTGTGCTGGAGAAAATTAAGCCGTACGTTGCTCTCTTTTTTGTCTCCGAGTTTGTCTCCGGTCCGTGTGACTCGCGAGTCAGGCGAGGGATGGTTTAATTTGTGATGCACGTTGGGCTTATGCAGAGAAAAGCTCAATATTTAAACTTATATATATCCATTTGTTTTACTAATTAAATTAAAGTAGAAAAATGTCGAATTAACACAACCAAATAAATTGTTTAAGCTTATCAGACAATCAAATTGATCAATCTGAGTTTTGCGCATTTATTAACGAGTGGATTGGGCTGAAATTTCATTATATATTCCTATTTTAATCATAGTAAAGTTGGTTTCATTATTCTTGATAACTCATTGATATATTATCTTTGCATTAAAGGGTTTGCGTTGATAGGATAAAAATTTAAAGAGCATAATGCTCTTTAATTTTTATCCTATATATATATTACTTCATCTACATATAAGTAATTATTAGATTTGTGTTTTTAAACTTCTAGAAGCAAATAAGTATGAAGCAACTACGCACCCTCTTGATCCAATAAAAATCTGAAGGAATGAAATAATTAATAAACTTACCAATCAATGAAGATCGTTCTTATATGTGTGTGTGCCTATATGTCGCGAGCAACCCCCCCCCCCCCCCAAAAAAATGAAGCGACAGCAAATACTTTATTTCGAGATTTCATTTTGGGGGAATATATGGCCACCCACACTCCTAATTCCAGAATACCTTCCTTATATATTATGTATATAATATTGACCTGAAAAATACTTTATATATTGGATCCATATTACTGTCGTGTGTGTGTATATATTGCCATTATATATGTATAATTGCATGCCACTATATATTGCCAGCTTCATTAGTTAATTAATCATGAATCGTGGTTACGTGCAATCCCTGTAGTCTCTAGGTCCTTAGTACTGCCAATTTGCCTTTAAACAATTCCATCGTTGCGTGTTCAGAATATGCACCTACTCTCCATTAATCTAAGGTTGTTTACGCATAGTATTGGCCAAAAAAAATATGCCATCGTTGATTTACGCGTGATTCCTCATATAGATTTATTAAATTCCAACGTTATTAATACAAGAATTAATGAAGGGAAAATGATACAAAAATAACACTTGAATTTGCAAAATCCCAATTTAAGCACAATTGACCAATTTGACATTTGTAAATTTATTAAAATGACCATATTGCCTTTTATTTTATTTATTGTTTTTTAAAAAAACCAAATGTCTCTACTGGCCGGTCAGTCATCGGAGCTCAAGTGGCCCTTGTCATTGGAGCTCCGGCGACCACCGTTGGCACCAGAGCTCTGGCGATTGGCCGACCAGTGGAGGCATTTGGTTTTTTAAAAAAATAAATAAAATAAAGGGTAATATGGTCATTTAAGTAAATTTATAAATGTCAAATTGGTCACTTGTACCTAAATTGGGATCTTACAAATTCAAGTGACCATTTTAACATTTTCAAGTTCAAGTGTTATTTTTGTGTCATTTGCCCATTAATGAATAATTTGCCCACTTGTCACTAAAATGAAATTTGAGTCATGAGTTATCTTGTACTCCTCCTCATGTCCTTGTTATAAATTTTTGTTCTATACTATAAAATATACTGACTGATTGCCGTATATTACTACTAATAATGTACTCCTCCTCAAGTCATTGTAAGCCGTAATAGCTATATTCTCTCCCAGGCAAATAACTGGGATTTTCGATTATCAACTTTTGCATATAAAAAAATCTAATTATAAATTATCTGCTTTTCTCCTTTTCTACCCTGAAGGATATTTTTTTTTGTTGGTATAGAAAATAGTACTCTCCGGCCAGCTCCAAAACAATTGTATAACCCCTTTCCCGGGCCCAGGTAATAATCCTAGACAATCAAGATATTAAAAACTATTAAGTTTTTATCATCACTTAGTCAGTAATTAGCCATAACAAAATCCGTTACGAACACGACAAAAAATGTTACAGTAAATCAAATTGAAAATTAAAAAAATTGACCTTTCTGTCAATTGAAAATTAAAAATGAAATACAAAGACAAAATATAATTAATTATCTCTTCCTTTTATTAGCTGCGTAATAGGTTTCCTCTTTTTTAACTAGTTTTCCATTGTTACCTTACCCTGAACCGAATCATCCACTTGCTAATAATTTTTATATTACAGGCAGCAGTTGGCTCATCATACCTAACACTACCCTAAAAGTAATCTTCTTCAAGTCGTAATCAGACTTTTTATATTAACATTGACTATACATCCAATTGGGCCTGCCCTGTAAACCTATATTATGTTAATGGAAAGTAGCTACATATTTTAACTAGAACTTAAAGTTGGTGATCAATTAATCAACGGCTGAATAGAACCAGTGGCCTAAAACATACATGCTTTTTTTTTTTTTTTTGCACTTATTAATGTAATGCTGACGTTGTTAAAGAATTGATCTTGCATGCCACATTTTTTGTCGACTAAACAATAGTGATTCTAGAATTCAAATCGGTTCCTTAACCACTGAAAAACTTCACGTATGATTAATAAAATTCGCTCAATTATTGGTATATATGAGTATGACACTAATTAGGCGGTTCACGGAATGACGACAAAAAGAGCTTTAAGAGATTATCACAAAGTAAAATCAATTAGTGCAGGTCAATGATCAAGTTGGAATTGGTCGCCTTCGTGTTGCTTCACGGAAGCTAATTAAGTTGATCTGGAGAGGATTAAAAAAATTGCTTCACCAACTTTTCAACTCCAAAATAAAAGGTTCGTTGTGCGATCAGAGTCACTTGGCTAACCCGTCTGGCAGAATTATTATCGCTTTACAAACAGCTGAGTTGACCTGAACGTGTCTATAAATAGAACAGCATTTCACGCCATTATTCTCAGCAAACAAGACTAGCCAAGTTGCCAAGCGTAGGGTTCTTTACAATAAATCTAAGAGAGCTACAATGACTTTCGTTAAGGAAGAAGTACCCAAAGCCCAAGCTGCTGGCCAACATAAAGAAGTGAATCATAAGAGTCTCTTACAAAGCGATGCTCTTTATCAGGCAAGTATATACTGCAAATTAAACTAAACATGCTCTCTTCATATAATGCTACTTTTGAACGTTGTGATTGATCATTTTGTTTCTACAATGTGTGTTTGTGCAGTATATACTGGAAACCAGTGTTTATCCAAGAGAGCACGAGTGCTTAAAGGAGCTGCGAGACTTGACGGCAAAACACCCCTGGTATATATAGTCATTATATATATATATATATCAGTTTTGTTCCTCTCATCACTCTCAGGATCCCTAATAATGATCACATCATTATTCTGTAGTTAATTATTAACTTTATTTTATATATATAAATACTCTCACGAAATGGATTATATTTTGAAACAGGAACTTGTTGGCTGTGTCTGCTGACGAAGGTCAATTTCTGAACTTGTTGGTGAAACTCATGAACGCGAAGAACACCATTGAAATTGGTGTCTTCACGGGTTACTCCCTTCTCGCCACAGCCCTTGCCCTCCCAGACGATGGAAAGGTCCCTTACCTTATACTTACTTCCCCTTATTATCATGCACAAATGCTCGCTAGCTAGATGGATAAACAAGTTGCTGTACTGTATATGATTGCCCGATCCCTTTCCTTCATTATTACCACAAGAAAAATGATCTCATCAGTATATTTATTTAATGCATTAATTAATGTGTCGCTTTCAGATATTGGCGTTGGACGTCAACCGGGCAGATTATGAGCTGGGCTTGCCTGTGATTGAAAAAGCTGGTGTCGCTCACAAGATTGACTTCAGAGAAGGGCCTGCTCTTCCTGTTCTTGACCAGTTGCTCTCAGATGTATATATATTATCTCAACTAATATCACTTTCTCAAATTATTATAATATTGTCTACCCCCTGCATGTACTTTAGTAGTTAAGTTACTATCTTGTGACGATCGTTTTGCAGGAAAAGAACAAGGGAGCGTTCGATTTCATATTTGTGGATGCGGATAAGAACAATTACTTGAACTACCACAGGAGGGCCATTGAGTTGGTGAAGGTTGGGGGACTGATCGGCTACGACAACACCCTATGGAACGGCTCTGTTGCGGACCCACCAGAAGTTCCTCAGTTGGATTACATCAAGTATTATCGTGGATTTGTGCTGGAACTCAACAAGGCCTTGGCCCTTGACTCTAGGATCGAGATTTGTCAGCTTCCTATTGGTGATGGCATTACCCTGTGCCGCCGCATCATCTGATTATACAACCCTTCAATTATTAATCTGCCCCACCCTACAATTATCTTCATTAGCTAGCTACCCTCGAACATTAAGCAAAGAATAATTATACGAGGGAAAATGGTAAATGTGGTTGCGTGTATATTTTTCCTGGTGTGATTTTACTGTCGTTTATTTTCAAATATCGCAACGCCTCTGATGTACACTGGTTTGAAAGATAAGATATAACTTGAAGGCGACATGATTGAAAGTAACCAGAACCCAGAGACATACAAACTCCTGAAAGAAGCAAATTAAATCAACAAACTATCTGGACCCAAAATAGAAACCAGTGATGAAATGAAATACGAAACCAATGGAGATACACTCCAACTTTTCATCTATCGCCTGAACAAACTCTTTCGAATAAAATAAGAAATGGTAAGAATTTATTATTGATTTTCCTGACCGGATGATTTCATTTTACCTGCCGCAGGCGGGCCAGGATAGCTTCAATATTTTTCTGCATGGCAGAGATAAGTTCGTAATCATATGTGTGTGTGTGCGCGCTTCGACGGGTCCACTATAGAATTTTCAATTGGGTTTTCATCGTTACACGGTGTGCTAGCTTGTCACTTTACGTTTTACAAGAGAACTCGTTTGGTGCGTTCTTTTGAGCATGTTAATAAATTTACAACGACTCTCATCTAGTTGGTATACTAATGCGCTGTGTACCTAATAAATACAAATAATATTATATTTTTTTGGCCTGGTGAAGTATTAATAATGGTTACAATAATAACATGATGATAATTAGTTATACTATCAACACTTATTTAGTCTTTAAATATTTTAACTTGTACAATAATAAAATTTGTTAAATTGCTTTATACGATTAATTACAGCCATAGTCGATCAAAATTTAACAATGGATTTCTGACATGGAAAATTAGTTGGCATGGCAAATGACTATGGGAGTTAATGCGTATTTTTGAAACATGAATGTATTACCAACGAAAAACGATCTTAGGTAAGTTAGATTTATCGAGAATAATTAATCAATTACGGCTTATGATAACAAGGAAACATAATATGACAAGGAAAAGAAAAGACGATGAAAATGAAAGGCAAAATAATATAACAAACCCTAAAAACGAAACTAGGAATTGCGCTGCTCTACTGATCCTAATTAATTAATGGAGTTGGCAATAAAGTCAACATAGTTCCCATAAAAGTCTGAGGATGTACACAATAATGCATTTAATTTCTTGGTTATTTAGGAGTAAAATTCGGTGGGCGACAAGGACAGTATAATGAAAGTGTTTTTTTTTTTTTTTGCCAGAAATGATGAAAGTCTACAAATATTTAATGTATTTTCTCCGTTTCAAAATCTAAATCTTTTAAAGTTTAGGCACACGTATTAATGTGTTGGCAAAAAAAAAGCACACGTATTAATAAATACAATTAATACATTTTTTACCAACAAATACTACAATTCATACATTAATATGGTATATTGACTAATTATCTAACTCGCCCCTAATCAATGTGTTGATTATATTGAAGTGATTACAATAAATAAGGGTATATAATAAACATTAATAAATGCTGTCTTAAACTTCTAAAAAAGATAAATTAAAGGAAATGAAAATATTTTTCAAGGAGGCTTATACTCTCCATAACTTCAAACATTTTAACCAGAACAACAAAAGAACATTAAACCTCATAAACTGATCTACCTTAAAATTTAATAATTTTCTAAACTTTATCCCTACTTAATATATATATATATATATATATAGATTTTTAAAAACATAGCAATCTACATGATAACAAATGAAAAGAAAAATAGTACATTTGTAGTAAAAATTTAATGGTGTGACTTATAAATAAGATTAAAAAAATTCTTTCTGTTTATAAATAAGACCAAAGTGATATTTTAAAACAAGGGGGCAATATATAATTACACAATGTTAACAAGCTATCATGCAAATAACTTCCTGCACAACATATGTTTATCAAAAGAAAATATAGCTATCAAATCAAGTTTAATTTTACCTGAATTAGTTGTCAAGAATTATGTCTCTTAAACAAATAATTGGAGTTTCAATCCCCAATTCTTCTTATATATGTCGCAAATCTATTTTATTACTCTAATTTACTTTGAGATCAGAGATTATTCACTCTGACAATCGAGGTCAGTGTGGTGGTTTAAAGAGGACAGATTTGGTGATCTAGTAGTGGTAGATCAAGCTGAAAGGATTGGATTGTGCTAAAATCCAAAGGGAGTTCTCATGAATGGGTTTAATTAGTTCTATTTAATTCCTCTATATAATAACGACACATTGTAATAAATAACAAAAGAAATTTTTAGAGCAACAGCATCAAAAATTTAGTTGGAATGTCATAATCAATAACCCACTTGTAATTGATATATTTTAATTTTACCGTTGACATTATCTGTTTAATTTAATTCTTTTATTTAATTTAATTCTCCATACTGCAGTTGGTGCCACTGAAAAGGATTCCCAGATAAACTGCCACCAAAACTATATACGCTCTAATTTGACCATGTCCCTATCTAATTCGTTGATTATCCATTTACGTGGCAGATTTAAGTACAGTGACATGTATCCATGATTGAATTCATTATTTTCATAACAATAATAACTTTCAAGGTCTAACATTATTGTCTAACGTGTAAGTGTAACACATTAATTCAACGATAAGGGATTTGCTTATTTGGATGTCGGTGCTGATATATGATTTATTTGAATATCCTGTCTTCAGGACAATTTTTTTTTGAAAAAAAAAAAAGAATCTGTTTAAAAATGTGTTTTTGGATTCATCATGGCTTTGCAAAACTAAAAAAAATCAAAAATTGTTCTAAGAATATCTTTTAACGTTTTTTTTTATATTTTGTTCTACAAAATTAGAAAAAGAGGAATACAACATTATATTTTGGAAAAATTGCAACAAAAAAAAAGAGACCGGTTTACAAAAATCATTGTCAAAATCCATACTATTGTTATCAAAACCCATACTAATGTCTTACCAAAAAAAAAACCATACTAATGTTGTCATTGGTCCTTATTTGTAATGTTTCTATTTCGGTGGTTTTTTTTTTTGTTGCCATTTTCCCTTATATTTTTCTTAATAGAAGTTGATTATAATTATTTTTTTATCTCCCTTTTTTTTTTTGGGAGCTTTTACTTCGGCCTTCGGTTAGGATAGTCGCAATAGTGACCTTAATAGTTATATATGTTATGCCTTGTTAATTTTACTATAAGTTGTGTCCGATGTGTGCTACTGTTTTATATTGGCTTATCTGTATGTACTTTTCTTTTTTCACATCAAATAACAAAATGATTTTGATATGCACTACTACGTGAAAAATAAAATCTTCAAACAATTTTCAATATATCTCTAATTTAACAGCATCCTAAAAGAAATAAAGTGGCAGCGGGTAAACATTTGGTGACGACGGACCAGAAACACACGATCAGCTGACCTAGGGATCGCAAGGTAGACTAAATAGCTGCTAATATTTTTTAAATATTTTCATAACAGAATAGCATGAATAAAATTATTTTTTATCACATCTGAAAAATTAAATTACATATACTATTAATAAACACGAACATTTCAGGTCCAAAAAAAAAAAACACGAACATAATTGTTAAAGGCATTCTGTTTCTGGATCGGATCTGTTTGAACTTAAGACTGAACACGCAATAGAACTAAGAATATGGGCCTCGATCAGCTAGGAAGAATGGCCCAATCAGCCCAAACATGAAATGCTCATACGGTGGGCCGTGAAAGTTTAAAACTAGGATTAGAGGGGTGCCCTAGGCCCAAGTGGTAGTGCAACACATGGGCGACGCTTGAGGGTCCAAATAGCAAGTTATTTTGCTGGGCCATCCCACTAGAACAACGAATTTAATATCAGTGGGCCCAGGGACGAGCCTTCCTTTGGATTTCATTTCATCGAAGCTACTCGGCCTCCCGTGTTCTGTGGTGCCCAAGGGGGGACTCAGTTTGGACTTTAGAATGACAAAATTCTGACAACTCATTATCACAGGTAAACCTATGTCCATTTTCTGACGACACTTAAAAAATCAAGTTATACTTAAAAAATATTGAGTGAATTGCCAAAAAAAATTGTGAAAACAGAAAAATTACAAAGAAGACCCATTATAAGCAAATGGCAACAATCTTGTGAAGGGGTTTTTACCTACAATTTTTTTTTTTAATTTTTAAGGTCTTTTTTTATGATTTTTCAAAAAATATTTTCTTAATTACCAGCAACATAAAAACATAAAATTTTTTCAACAGGCATTTTACTTGTTTTCTAATTACAGAGCCTTTAACCATTTTAGTTAAGTGCAAAATCGATGATTCCGTGCACGGAATCTGAATCTCGTTTAAACTAAAACAGCAATGCAAAAGCCAAATATGGTCATCTGTTTTGAATTATAATAAAAAAAAGAAGAAAAATAGTACAAGAAAATGCAACACGATAACGTTGGGAAAGAACGTGGCAATAAGAAGACTGCGTAAAACGATGGCGCCAGCATGAGAGCACACTTTTCCCCTTTTTCCTTCGGTATCAAGGAGAACCCACGCGAACCCACCATTTTCTTTCCATTCCCAGAGGAGTCCTGACTCTGACAAGAAGGTAGAGATTTGAGGTCAGAGGATTCTGGGGAATGGAACTAGAGACAAAGATTGATCGCTTGCCTATTGACTTGCTGGCTCATATTTTTTGTTTCTTCTCCTCCTTCACTGATTTGGCTCAGTAAGTTGGCTCTATGTTTAACTCATGAATCGTTCCTTCTTCTGCCTATATGCTTATCTATCGTGTTCTTTGTTTTTCCTGTCAATTTCTGTGCAAAAATTTCAAGGGCGAGTAGTGTGTGCAAGAATTGGAAACAAGGGGTCAAGGAATCTTTGGCTCGCAAACAGAATCTGAGCTTCGCCGGATGGAAAATGGATGATGAATCCACAGCTCGCCTCGTTTGCGATGCCTACAACCTCAAAAAGCTTGACATGTATGTCTCTGTTTCGTTTGTTATCTTATAATTTTATATCCCTGTGGAGCTTATTGATAATATTCTACTTGGCTGAATGCTTTGAACATCTTCCTTTTGGGGGGTCCCTTGCAAGTTGTAATAATAAGATCATTCGACTTCCTATATGATGTTTTCTAACAAGTTAAGCAATGGGTTTTCATAGTTTCAGAGATATATTATATATTGAATGACCAATTAAATTGGAGCTCATTGCATCTCGCAATGCTATTGCAAGTTCAAGTATTATTTGGAGAAGGGTGATACCATGTTCATGAGTTCATCCCGGGATGGTTGATCACTAGCGACTTGATTGTGTTTTATTTGAGAACCATGCATTATAGCAATTATGGTGACTCAAAATTAGGACAGAATGTTTTAGATGTTCTCTTCAAAGACTTTCCTACAAGAAAGGATTCTCTCTCTTATTCCTGATCACTGTTGCCAACTTCTTGATAGCGTGATTTGACTTTAACAACCATACATGTTCAGAATTCATTGAGTAAATATCAGCCTATCAAGTTCCAATTTCTGTATACCTCAGTGGCATCATTCATTAATCCGAGTAATGACAGGACATGCCTTTCGTATACCACATTCAGAATTTCCTTTCTAATGGCCTCATTAAGCCATTTCTTTAGCCTTTGCTTATTGATTTATGGAGGCAACTGGTTGTGATGACATGGTAACTTTGTTCTCGTTTTAATATATATATATTTATATGATAGTGCATATGTTGGTTGAAAACAAATTATGTTTCTCACCCCAGAAATTACAGTTATTGAACAAAATAGATTAGATGTTTTGCTTCATATTAACCATTAAATCATGCATCTAAAGATGGCCTTGACACTGATCAATTAGTTAACATTTTAGACAAGCAAAAGCTGATATTTGGAAATTTCATAGCTGCAGTAAGATGATGGCTTGTGGCCTGTGGCTAAACTGTATTATGATTCCAATCAAGCAATATCTGAAAATCCACTTTGTATTATTTGTCTTTTTATGATGATTTTAGCCCGAGGAGCCGTTGGGGTTGCCAAATAACTGATAGCGGACTTATCAAAATATCTTTGGCAAAGTGTGTAGGCAATCTCACATCCATCTCACTCTGGGGTTTGACTGGGATTACAGATGAAGGAGTTATTCAACTGGTATGTTATGGTTTTATGGTTCTTGCAACTTCCACAGTTGTCTAGGAGCTTTTCCTCGGATTCCTGTAACTAGCCTGTTTGGTTGGGCATTTTTTTAACTCAAAAGCACGTTTGTAAATTTTTGACATGTTTGGTTGAGTTTTTGACCTATCCTCCTTATGAGCCAAAAGTGAGATTGAAACGCATGATAAGCTAATTTGAGAAGCTTTTGTCTGAGCTTCATCATACTTATGGTTGGTAGAGCACCTACAACTTCCATATTCATATATTAAATTTAGATCAAGTTCTTTATAATTTCTTCATCAACTTCTTCAATAAAAATATGACGTACTAGACATTTCTCAGGAGACCTAATCATGCAATGCAAAATTGTAAAAACCTCGTGTTTTATCTTTCATTGAAGAACCTGGCATTATATATATATATATATATATATATAAACTGAACTTTAGGTCTTTGCCTGAGATGAAATTTTAGCTTTAAAAGCAAAGATATAACACAGGCAAAGGTCTGCACTCAAACGTCGCAGACGTTCAATATTATATCACTTTTTGTCCATACATCACAATTTTGATTCATTTCGCTTCTAAATGGACAATCACTTGAACAGGTATCCAGAACCAAATCCTTACGACATTTGAACGTTGGTGGCACGTTTATCACAGATGAATCCTTGTTTGCCATTGCAAGAAGTTGCCCCAACTTAGAGGTAGGTTTGAATGAAGTTGAACACTAGATTTTTTGTCTATAACAATCGCGATACCCTTCTTAAATGGCAGAGTAAAGATAAGCATTCTAAACCTAAAGAGTTTTAAAATACTCCCCTAATCCTAAACATAGAAACTAATTAGGAATTTGATTTTAATATTCAATATAAGACTTTTGTTTATTTTATCATTCAATTTTATTTTATTTTTTCAAACTAACTTTATTATAAATTGATTTGTAATCTAATGTTATATAGGATATTTTAGAAAGATTGTCATATTTGTTAAAATTAAGTTATTTATTTAGCTTTTTTAATTTATCCTAATCAATTAAGTAGCTCTCATGGTAAGAATCAAATAAGCTTTTTCTAAAACGCAACTCCAAATAAAGTTTAAAAAAAAAACATTACAAATATCTGGATCCCCTATAATGCTGTTATAAAACATTAAGAGAGTGATACAAAGGTGAAAGAACAAGCATGAAGTTAGTTTCCTTTCTTTTCACATTTATTCTCTTAACCGCAACACTACACAAAATAATGTATTTATAATGAATACTACTTCAAATGGTTCTTAAATAAATGGAGAGCATATATATCATAGCTGCTTCTTGCTGTTTTACAGACCATTGTCCTGTGGAGCTGCCGTCATGTAACTGAAAGTGGACTTTTTGTGCTGATTGATAAATGTCACAACCTCAAATCAATGAACCTCTGGGGAACAAGACTTTCTGTGGATTGTCTCAACAAGCTATTAAATTTAAGTCCGACTCTTCAGATCAAAGTTTAGCATCATATCTTAACTCTGCTGTATGTTGTCAAATGTGTTGATTCTAAATTATTAGTTTCACCTTCTTTTGTGCACAGTTCCTGCGTAGGAACTATGCCATTGTGATTATACTTATTCTTGATCGATGTATGAAAATTGTTGTAATTGCTAATAACGAATTCACAGTTTGTAATTAAAGATGCCAAATTGGACTATCTCTCTCTCTGAAGTCTAGCAACTAACATGGGTTTGTAAATGGAGTGAGTGTGAATTAGATTCATGAGTTCGTTGCATCCAAACATTCTTTCTCTTAAGTTCTTAAGCAAGAAAATCCTGTTTAGACCGAGACCAACACCAACCATATACAAAATGCTCCGTTTGATTGCCATTCAAGCCTCGTACAGGTACCTCTGTTAAAATTTGTTAGCCAGTGTTTCCATATCCATTAGAAGTAACTTTGCCCAAATGTACGAGCCAACATTTTCTCTTCAACATTAATACAGTAATAAAGACCAGCTAGCGGAAGGAAATACAGTTTATATAAGTTGTTAGGATACAAACATGACAAACCTTAATGATTAGGGGCCTTCCATATTATACGGATCCTATGTCGCAAATTTCCTATTATGCCGTGGAATAACAATCCCTTGGTACTTTGGTGCAAAACCTGAAATGCAGAAAGAAGGGAAAAAAATTTAAATACCGCAGAGTGCCAAAATGGGGACCATATAATTTTGATAGTGACCAATTAATTGAAAGGGGAACATGAAGCACAGAAAATTTGTGTGTTATTGAAAACTCGCATTCATGTCAACAGCGTCAATTTTAATTTTCTTAGATACTAAGAAACCTAGAACAGGTTTCATTTGAAGGAGAGAGAATAAAAAACGGCAAAGCAACCGCCAATAGAATACACATGAGCACAATATTTATCAGTCAGATCTAACGGGACAAGAGCTAGAGTGTGGCACCCGGGAAAAAACTTGCTCTCATTTGATGTATTTTTTGCGAAGAGGTCTGTAAGCTCAATAAATACATCAACTTTGCAGAGAAAAAGGGAAAGCCCTCTGCCACATGATGACATGTAAAATCAATACTTTTCTTTCACGCACAAGGGAGTAAATGTCTGAACCTAAGAATTCTTGCGTTTAGCCCACACCCCTCACTACCAGCACAAACCAAGGGCTCAAATTAGAACTACCTAAGTGATAAGGTAGATTATCCAGGTATATCATATGAAATGAAAAGGATGAGTTCAGTAGATAAGGTCCTACGCTAAGAAGAAAGAAAATGATTATCGAAATAACATATTTTCAAAGGTAGAAGTCATACCATGAAGCTTTAAACAGAAAAAATTATCTCCACCTCAAAATTTGTCTGGATAAAATCTTAAGTAATAAAATTATTCATTGGGAAATCGTCGTCATTAACTCTGCATATATCCAATAGTTGAGTCTAGGCTTACAATAATATGAGGTAAACTTCAATGGGGTACCAATGAAGACACAGAAATCAAATAATCCCATTGGATTGTCATCTACTCTTTGGCACCACACTAAGTCGCTAACAACAATCAGAGAAAGGTGCAGCAGGGCTCAAATGATAAGTAGCAGCAGAGGACCACACTTAGGAAATGAAGAGAGATAGATGTCGAATACTGCACCAACTGTATCATCCAGTGAAATAATTTCTGACGAGAAACAGACAATTTATAAACCACTTTGATAGTAATAAATTTTGAAACAGAGCCAAATTGATTCCCTTCCCTTCCCTTCCCCCGTCTTCCAAAACAGAGAGAACAAAGCATGGACAACAAAGGAATAAGGGTCTATAAATTTGATGCAGATCTGCCTCTATTACTTTGTCATCTAGCCTTATAGACAGCGTTGAAATTCTATAACTAATCCTTTCCAGTAGCAGCCTATGAGGTTTCAAATATATCTCAAATTTGAAACTCATAAATGCAGTCATCATAAAAGTATCTTCACAGACATTCAGTTATTCAGTATTTGTATCGAACCTTTGTTCAACTTTAAGTTGGGAAATGTACTTATTTTTGTATATTTAGCGGCCCTAATTTGAACAGTAAACTCAGTCAGTCAGCCTTCTAGCTTGTCTTTACTCGTAAAGTTAAACTCAGTATGTGTGTTTGAAGCTAGAAAACTAAGCTAGCGCTTACAAAGTGCCAAAGCCTCCAATTATTGCAGGTTGAATCACCAGCTTTCCTGGAGAAAAATAATTCCTTAATTCCAATTGACTGTAAAGATTGATGATAGACATTAGGCTTTGTTCTTCAGCTAATCAAATTTTCATCGACTTAACTAACATACCCACAAAATTGGAACACGAGTGGAAATTTGGTCATTAATTTTATACTTAAACCATAGGCAGACATCTGACAAGAATCAGTATGTGGAAACTCCTTTTACAAATCACATTAGTGAAAATAAGAAAACATAAATGATATGCCCACGCACCAAGAGAGAGACGTTGATGTATCTTCATCCAGAGTTGCATTAAGAAATCAGGCTATACTGCAAACAAACATACCTGAACAGATTCTAGCTCCTTGCACATGCTTGATCTCTCTTGATTAGTTTCTACCCCAGATGACTGAACAGACCCTTGAATACAGGCTCATCAATCTCAAAACTTGTTTATCTCATTTTTCTAACAGTTCTATAACATTTCATAGATGAAGCAAGACTACAGCTTATACACTACGTATTAGAAGCCCCTCCTAAGGACTGGCTCTCATATGTCATACAAGAATGGTCATGATAGCTGTAACGAAACTGCAAAAATAAATGGAAAATACAAGAAGAGCAGAAGCATCCAAGTTGGAGAATAGACAGCAGAAGCTGAATTAGAGAATTGAACAGATCCAGTAAAGCTCCCAGAGGTTCCAGCAGCATTGCCCACAGGATTTGTACTAGGTACAGCAGTGTTCTTGCAAGAACCAGAAGGCACTCCAGCCTGCAAAATTCATGCACTTATGTGATTGTCTCCAAGCATTTCCTTTCACAAAATGTTCAGGTAGAAGCAGCAGTAGCAAGTAGAAACCTATCTACGTGCAGGAGTCCATCATGCAATCAAACCACATGAGATGCAGAGAATGGGAGTCTGAATCCACTTTAGCCCAAAAGTGTGCCACATGGTTTAGATAGTGTAGTTTAGAATTTCATGGCATTTCAAGCGCAAGGAATTTGAATTGCTACATTGCATTTTAAAACCCCTTGTTTGGATGACCATAGTATTTATAAGTTAGGGGGGTGTGTGTGTGTAAGCGTGCATGTGTGTATTTGTGTTTCTATAAATATCAATGTTTCTATAAACGAGGTTGAGTTTTAATTGGTGACTACTGATTAGATGACCAATTGTCTTGCCTGTTCAGAAGACTGACCAAAGTTAAGTTGATGTTATTACTTCCAGCAGACACTTTATAGTCAACCTTCAAAGAATATCATTACAAACTACCAAGTCTGACATTTCTTGTTTAAGGTGAATAATGGAAATTGAACACATTCTGGAAATTTTCTGCCTGTTGAAAAAGTACACCCACTTAAGCTTCCCCTCACTAGTTTATGACCAGAAGATAAATGTAAACATTAAATTAACAGGGTGCAAAAGATGGTTCACAAATGGAGGTTAATTCATAGTTGGATGAACAGAGCATACGAACCTGGCAAGCGGTGACCGTACTGCACCCACACAGTGAGTGGCCATTCATTTTATCCGCAACATCAAAAACACCACCTCCATCACTCCTCTGCATGGAATTTTGCTCAGAATGCTAAAGTGGATTTGCAAGAATTAAGTGCCTTAAAAGTCTATAACAATAAGAAATACCATGTAAAAATTAACTGCTACAAAATTGGGAAGCACATTCCCCGCAGCTTTGTAACATGTATTCACCATCTCTGCAAGTGGAGCTGAATGTTCCTTGCACGCATCAGCTTCAACTGGATATGTTGGAAAGTAATTCTGCAAGAAAAGCGACACACTCCTAGAATTCAGGGGCTTTGATTCTTTTCTATGCAGGCAAGACCCTGGTTGAACTCCAGGATCTCCAGCTGAAAGTTATTGAATAGGTTTTCGTCAGTATCATGTACTATAGACAATGAAAATATACAAGTTACAATGATGTCGTACATACACTCATTTTCAACCATATACTTCCACTGATAAGCTATTCCTTCTTCCGCTTCCTTTGAAGCAACGGAAGTAAAAACAAGAAGACGATGATTTGCTTGAACCATTTCTGTTACAGTAGGCCAATCTTGACCCTTTTTTGGCATCTTAGACACAGGAAACCAATACTTATCCAGTCCAGCATTAGTGAATAGATTAGTCAAACCCTTAGGAGTGTGCACATAGTCTTCAATTATAATGGTGACAATCTCCGTAGGGTTTTCGGTCAGGAATGCCTCCACCTCTTTTAATGTGTTGATTGCAGGTTGCTGTGATAGTTTTATAGACATATTAGAAAATCCGCCACTGAAGAATAACCATGAAAGCAAATTTAGATTCTAAAACAAATTGGAGTAAGGATTAGATTACAAAGGCAGTGAAGTTGAAGCATTGCCCCTTGAATGAATGGCAGAGCCAGATATCATTCTGGAAGTCGTACATGTCTAACATCAGCCCCCTCACTCCATTCTAGCAATATTAACCAAACAAATGTATAAGAACCACTGTAGGAATAATGTAATAACAACAAAGGAACAGGCGAATAAGATTTCATAATCTTGCACGGCTGTCACTCGTCAGTGTCAGCGATGGTTTAAAAAGGAAAGACTCAACTGTACTGAATGAGAATACAAGCTATGATGCAGCTCAAAACGGGTGAAGAGAGAAGCAAACATAAAAGAGTAAATATACAGTTTAATCCAAGAAAAAGATAACTCCTTACGTTTTAGTCCTTAAATCTATTTCTCTATACAGATGAGGCCCTCATTGGTCAGAATTCGTTATAATGAATTGAATCAGTCCTTTAAATTGAGCATATATATGATTTGGTCCACTAGAGGATTGACATACAGTTCTTTTTCTTTTTTCTTTTTTTTTTGGACCAGCTATTGACATACGTTCTAAACTTTGAGGGAGTAACTCGGGCAAAGGAATACATATACTAGGATAATCTTTGATTCAAGGACAAGATTGTGTATTTACTCAGTAGAAAGTACCAAACAAAACAAGAAAAATCAGATGTTAAGTTTGCGTCTTCATTGGTTTCCCCACATACCCTCAACTGGTTAGTCACAGTATCTTCTTGATTGTAAAGTGTTAGCCTCTGAACGCCCGGCAAAGGCTGTGCATCAACAATGCTGAATGAATTGTGAGTAACAATCCACGTGTACTTGTTGAAGGGCAAGTCATTAATCTACACAAGAAAAAGTAAAAGGTTGAGAAGAAAAACAGCGGAGTCCATCCCCAAATTCGCAAAAGACTACAGCACCCAAAACAACAAACTCAAGAAGTAAAGCTAAAAATATAAGACTCGTATCAGTAAATGTATAGGCAAAGTCCATTACTATAGCGGTAGGAATGGTGGCTTGACCTCTGGTGCAGACAGGTTGCGTCCGACCCAGAGCAGGGCAGTTGCCACAATAGAGACCTGACCCGCAATCTGTAGCCGCCGAACATGCCTCCAGAACCTGCGAATTACAGTGAAATTCAGCTCAATTTCGAAGAGAAAAAGAAGGGGAAATCCACGGATCTCATGAAAGCAAAGGGACCTGGCAATTGCCGTTAGAGCAGGCAATGGAAGTGGTGAAGAGTGAAGAAAGGAGTGACAAAAGGAGGAAGCCAAAGCCAATGGAAGGTGCTCTGCATTTGCTATGGGAGCACATGGCAGGTAGCTGTGCAGAGACCAGAAGCCTCCGGCAGAGAGAGAAAAAGAACGGAGGAGAGGAATTTTAGAGCAAAAATGATCATCAATGGAGGCCTTTTGCGGATTGCACTTGCACTGCTGTTAAGATAAAAATAAAATAAAAAGAAAAATTGGGCATGGTAACTTTTTGTGCTTTTTAGTTCGGACATGGTTGACGACATCGTTTCAAGTCAATACTGGGGGACAGATCCTGTCCTATCGAGGCTCGCCAAGGAGATTTGATCAGAAGTATATGGTAATTATATTACATTGTTAGCAATAGAAGGTTATATATTTATTAGTATCACGTAAGAACTCGTTTAACTTTTATTTTAATCTTAAATATAAGATCTGAATTTATTTTATTTTTCATATTTATTTATTTTTCTAATATAATTTTTATAATAATAATAATTTTAATTAATATACTTGATTAGTAAGAATATTTTTAAAAAGATAATACATATTTATTACAAATAACTTATTTAAATAATTTTTTAAAATTAGTCAGTTATATCTCATATCAAGAATTAGAAGTAGTATAATTTAATTTAGGAATTGATTAATAAAAATAGAAATATTGAATATAATGAAATCTTAGAATTGGTGCCACTTTACGAGTCACTCCCAAGAAATGCGCCGCTGCGTATCTCTGCTCCGGTATATGCTTCCCACGTGGTGGGGTACCCGCCTTCCTCTGAAGCCATGGCCTTGGGAAGCTTATGGAGACACCCGACAAGAAATTAAGTTGTAGATTAAAAGATGGGATTACAATACAAATTAAAAATACGGCATAATAAAATATAAATTGCATTAACTAAAATATGTATATTTGCTAAACATATTATACTCCTCCGGTCCTTAATATAAGACCCATTTAACTAATTTGATTAGATTAAAAAGTTAGGTAAGTTGGTTAATCATAAGAAAAGTGATACATTTTTCCTAAAACACCATAATCATCTTTCTTAATACTCCATCTCCCTTTTCTATTTGATTATGGTTGAGGGAGTATCCATAGAGGTAATTTAAAGAAAATTGATAAATATGAGAAATTGGTCTTATATTTATGACCAAAACTAACTCAACAATTGGGTCCTATATTAAGAACCGGAGGAGTAGATAACTATTTATTTGCTTAACACTTTCTTTGGGCTGCGTTATCTATTATTGGTTACATATAAGATTTTTTTTTTTAGGATTTTATTTATCTAAAATTCAAATCACGCAACGTTCATGACTTGGACCAGGAATACAGGATATTCTCACTTTTATTTTGGTACAGGATATTTTCGCACTTAAATGCTTTAAAAGATGGATGTTTTCCTTGGCAATGATGCTAAGCCCACTTTCGTGCCTCCGGATAACTTTGCATGAAACTTGGGAAGCCAGGGGACAAAATATCAGAAAAACAAACAATTTTAATACCGAACCCGAAAGAATTAGAATGCTTCAAGTAAAATTAATCAAATGGATTTCGCGTGCAATATTTTTTCAGCCATGTCGTGCATATCAAATATATTATGTCACTCGAGTATCCCTCAATCAGAGTTTAAGTTAAAGGATTCATATCATTATCCATCCTCATAGTTCAATGGTTTCATCAAATTTTACTTTCAGTCTTTATTGTTTTAAGTCGTGGTCTTAATTCGTATAGTTTCATAATTTTGTCTAAACTTAACAAGTAGTCTCTAGTTTCGATCCCTATACTTAAATTCAAATCAAACCCTTATAAAAAACACATTCCATACTCATCTCATAAATGAGCGTGAAATACTCATCTTAATCTATATTATCTAGAATTGATAATCTTAACCATAGATTCCATTACAACAATTTTGGTCCAAAAAAAAACAAAGATTGCATTTTAGTGATGAATATGGTATGATAAGTATTGCGTCCTAAATAAGGATGAAATCCTTAAAAAACAATAGAGACCAAAATCAATGATTTGAAATTATAAGAACTAAAATCAAAATTAGATCAACTATCAGATTAGCTGTAAGTTAAAACATTTCTGGATACCCGCGACAGGCCTGACACATTCCAAAGATTTATATATTAGATTCTGCAAAGCTTGCATCTTCCATCCGAGGTAGTTAATTCAGCAGATTGATATGAAAATGGTTTCTTTACAATGTAAAGTTACCTGTGAATTGAGATTGATTCCTCTACCTACCCAAAGAATAACGAAAGAATTGAATTTGGATTTCTTTCTCATAAGAAAACAAATTCCCTCCCATTAAGCAAGCTTCTTTGCACGACCACTTGAAGGAGCACCATCCTCTTTTTTTGAGCCAGATGCCTCAGGCTTCCGAGCCCAGGCAGGAGCCCTATCTGGTTCGTAGCGATAATCATAAAACAGTTCCTCCCCGGCATTAATCCGTTCCTTAGCAAAAATGCCTACCCTGTGATCCCCAGCGACCATTATAACCTGATTCAGGTAATGGCGTTGTTAGATTGAGACAATCAAAAGCCCTAGCATGGCCATGCAATGTGAACTTACATCGAAAAGTATCTAATAAGGAGTCAGACTCAGAACTACAAACCATATACCTTTGCATAGCAATTTGGATCAGGAGAATGATTGGCAAACTTCAATTTGTCACCCTTCCGATAAGCATCAAGAACAAACTGCATGTGGCAATCATATGAAATGATTCATCACTACGTTACATTTGATGCATGCATGACTGGGAAACAATAAAAGTATTATCAACTTGCCTGATCATTCAGATTAAAGAGAAACGATGAATTCTCACGATCATATATCTTTCCACGTTTATCTGCCTCCCTATGCGAAATTAACTCTCCAGTATACTCTCCAAGGTATTCATGCTTCCCGACACTGTTCTGCAGAGTAGCAACCAGATCACGTCAGTCGGGAAGAAGTTTAAGATAGCAACACTACGGAACCATCGTTTGACAGTTACCTTTAAGAAGGCTCCCCATCCAGATACATCAGACCTTCCAAGAAGAACCTGCAAGCATATTGGATTATAAGTTGCCACCATTGCGAACATGAATATGGAGAAGAACGCCCTCTCTCAAAGGTTGACACCAAAAAAAAAAAAAAGAGAGATATAGTGAGTTACATTGAAAGATTAAAAATCCATACTAACTCAAATCCCTGAGACTGAAGACCATCCACAATGGGACTAACAGCAACGGATTTTTCCCCAGTTCCCCAAATTCCCACCCTAACTCCGGTAGGCTCATTAGGTAACATTGTCTTTCAACAGGATTTTGTCTGCAGAAGTTTGACGAGCCTAGATTTGAATTCTATACACTAAAACATGGCTGAATTATTGAGAATTTTACTTCTCAGCTTGATTTCATCCACTTCTCTTCATTATTTTTTTTTTTTTAAAAAAAGTGTAAACTTACTAAATTTAATATGAAATAAGATTTGCGTTTCAGAAGGAAAGGAGAACATAAGCCTTGATACATAACTGTAGGCATGTAAAGGGAAGACGAGAAAAAGGAAGAAAAATACCCTTTGCTGCTGTTTGAGAAGAAGTTTCATATTCCTACATTCATAATTATCACCCCTTTGGCTAGGAATCCCAAGAGTGCCATCACCACAGCTGCAAAAAATGGAACTAACCATCAGGATAGAAGAAACTAGTGTGCCAATTGCCATACAGATACCGTAAAGTGATGAGATGAGTTAAAGCTTAACATCATAAACATTACTATACTACCAATTAAATTACATTAATGAAATAGAAAGGCAAAAAGTCTAAAGAACACAAGCGGAACCAATTTCTTTCAGATCCTCATTTGTTATTTAGTCCTATCATCAAGAAGGAAACGACAGAAATGTATAGTCAAACCAAAAGCAAACTAACAAACCTCAAGCTCACACATGATTGAACATTTGTTGAACAATCCATCAATTCAATAAATGAAACGATGACCAATTCAACAAAGCAGACTCAGGATGTTTTGAAATGCATATAAAATTGCTTCCATGTATAAACACTGAGTAAAATTAAATTAAAAAATAATAAAATTACCAAGACAGCTACATGGGCATATACAATGTAAAACAAAATCTTACCCAACCCAGCAATTCCTACAAACATCAGGATCACATTCCCTATCTGCAGCAAAGCATGGGCATTGTCGACTTCGGCATTGGCTCTTAGCACAATGACAGCCACGAAATCTATTCTTGCAACTTTTGGGGCATCTGAGGTTCCCAAAAAAAAAAAAAAAAAGCAATGTTAATTAACATTAGATGAAAATACAGGCAGGCAAGCCATAGAACTAATGCACTATTTATATGCCAGCAATAACTATAACACCCAGGACTCCTCACACGGTGAGGCATACGGAATTAATTTAAAAGCTTACCCACAGTACTTCTCACAGCAGGTTCCATTTTGAAGACAGGGACACTGCTTTCCACAAGCTGATTGGCAACCACATGGGTTATATTGACGACATGGCTGATCCTTTCTCTCTGTAATCCTCTTCCTGATTGAATGATATGCAGCAGATTTCCAGGTATACTTCAATCGACGGACTCTTCCTCTTCTACGTAAAAACCTTGATCTTCGTCTCAGTTCATTGTTACCCTTCAAATAATTTTATGTTACCAGAAGGTGTTAGGTGAGTGGCATGTGCAGCAAATTGCGAAGGATAAAATTGCACAAAACATAGTTGCATTCCAGTCAACCTTAGAATAGCCATCCAGAAGGGAATTTGCAGCATCACCAACAGGACCTGGCATCTTTCCCTCGTTGCAATTTATATACTGGAAAACCTCCCAACATGTCTTCAGACCAGTCAAGAGATTCCTCGCTATTAAACAGCTGCAGGAAAGCTCAATAGTCAGTAGCAGAAACGTTTGTGCATAAAGGCATTGCAAGGTCATTCTGCCCCTCCTCCCCCTTCATCATGGTCAATGCATTATGCAAGTGACTAATTTAAAACCAGTGGAGGCACAAGTGAGCAAAGTGGAACTTTCAAACTTATTTGAGAATAAACCAGAGTGGACCCAGACCACGTGTATAATCTATAATTTACTCATTGATTAGATTATTAAATCCTGCACACCTCCGTATAACGTTCACCTAGGAAAAAATGGAATGAGATATTACCGGGTTAAAAATAAAATAAGCTATGAACAACATCGAACTAAATACATCCACATTGTAGACACCTATTTCTCAAAAAGCAACTAGAGCTAACCTTATCTCCAGATGAATGCTAACATCAGTGATCATGCATGTTATTGATTAATAATTGCAACATTCATTTATAATGAGAAAAGTACAGGCAGCTCCAACCAAAAATGTCAATGGCATATGCTGACTGACCTGTTTCTACCAAATATTTCCACCCCTTTATCTAGAAGAGCTTTTTCAAGAGTTTTCCACGATTTAATATCAGTGAATTCTTGATTGCACATATTCTCATTTACACACTCTTCTTTCCTCAGGTTCTCATCACTACTTGTGACTGGGGGGTCAGGAATCATCTCATTCGATGAATGATCAAGAGCTTCACCCTAAAATAGATTAAGAATGTCAAAATTAGACCTACTGTCAAAAATTCACTTTTATGTTAAAACAACCAAGATTATTGGTTTTTCTAGTAAAAAGAATCAAAGCAATAATCCAGTTACACTAAGAAAAACACTCACAATGGAATCAGAATCAGACACAACTGTTTTCTTCTGCCTCTTCTGCATGCAAACTAGAACACGTTCTGCCACTCGCTTACTGTTCCTCTTACTAACTCCGCTTTTCCCTGTAGCTTTAGTTTTAGGTATTGACTGGGAAGGTGAAGCATTATTCTGCCCTGGGCCATTCTCTGAGTCACTACTCTCAGATATATTCTTTGCATTTGAGGAAGCACTTTCACTTCGGCTGCACTTCATTCGCCTTCTAGCAGATGGAGTACACAACTTCTTAGATGATTTTTGCACCCCAGCACCACTTGAGCATTTCTCTTCAACATCGCCCGGGGCAGAAGAGACCACTTTGGCAAATCTTTCAGATTTCAGCACCTATATATTATCAAGTTTAAGCACCTTATGTGACTCTTCACAGGAACTTCATAAATAGATTCCTGGACAAAAATGAAAGGACAAAACTTGGATGTGGTTTTTTTGTTATCAGCCTCTAATAATAACAAGCTTTTTTTTTTTTTTCATTACAGCTCAACATTACATGATTGGTTCTTTCAAATTTCCTTTGTATGTCATATGTTCATTGGATATCTTGATTACGGAACACTATAACTTTACCTAAATCAAGTCCAAAAATAAATCTAAATGCATACCAACTGAAAACAATTTGGTCCACATGGTGCATTTTCAGCATCAGGAGGCATCCATGCAGGTTGTTTCTCAGCCTGTCAATGAAATGAGTTAAGATGGATTCTGATTAATGCATAAGAAATAACTAACATAGAACTTACAGGAAAGATGAGATCCTGTGAACAACCATGCAATCTACAATCGAAAGCCTGCTAAGTAAAATAAAAGGCACAATAAATGAGATGTACAAAGTTTATGAAACTACATATTATCAAATGGACATGCTTGAGCTTACAAGACATCGTCGACAAAAGAGGTTATCAAAGGAATCAAGAGCTGCTTCAAGATCCTTGTCCAGAAACGAATTTCCACCTTGAGAACTCTTTTCAGCATTGTTTGAGCTGATAACATCATATCTTGCCTGCACAAGATGTTTGACTGTGTTTCATGTTTCTGTAAAGCCAGCACAAAGAAAATGGGAAAAGCTGGCGAAAACTTACTCTGCAACCAGTTCTCATTAGAACAATTGAAAGAGGGTGAAAGTGGAAATAACATGAGAGAACAAGACCAACATTTGATAACCCATACCTTAATGTCACAAGCGTTTCTAGAAAAACACCGGGCCAGTGATTCCAAAACAAGATCAGACAAGCCAAATTTTTTGACAGTCATGCTGTAAAAATTAAAGCACACATCATGAAGTATGAAAAGCTGCTTATCAAACAACAAAAATAACAACATGCAACACCCTTGAACAAACTAGTTTAAACACTATAATTCCATGAACAAAATGAGAACACTGCAGAGTAAAAAGAAACCATTTGGAATCTAAAATTATGGCAGGAGACTCAAAAATCAATGCAGAGTATGGACCCCAACTGGAAACAAAGAAATCAACTAAACTGAAAAACCTAGCACATGAAATTTCCCATTAAAAAATTGACTAACCGAGAAAATTGTTATATGGGAAAGATTATGGATTGACATGGATTAAATGATAGAACAATTAAGCATCGGCTAGTTTCATTTCCCCGTAAAACATTATACCATACATTTAACTGACCAGAGATCTTGTTTCTATTTTTTAGCCATTCCAAGAACAGAAAATCGTTACCATTTCATCCTGTCAGAAGCTCACTTTAAGTGAAATGAAAGATAACAGGCACGGTTGCACAAATATGACATATTGTTGCAACATAAGAGATTTAGAAATCTGTATTGTTCATATTATACGTAAATAGTTTGGATAGCAACAAAGACTACTCAATCTTCAGCCACCTGCTGTAGAGAAAGACTCAGAAAACATGATCAGAATTGAATCAGTTGTGGCAAAAGCAAGGGGTTGGATCTGGCCATATGAAAATGAAAAGGCTTGCCTTTAGACTGTACAAGATATGACAAAGATCCACCAAAAAACCAATGCGTACTTGAGACAGAAGAAGGTGTCCCAATCAACAAAAAGATAGAAATTCAGATCAATAAACATTTGAAAAAACTAAGCAAGAGATAGAAAACAGATTAAATAATAAAAAAGCAGACAAAACAACAAATGGAAGTTATTCCTGCATGATGATGATGATGAAGGAGAAGAAGAAAACCAAAAAGTAAAGGCGTGCAATACCAATTTACTAAGCAATACCAACCAAAGTATATAATCTTCTGATTCTACAAATTCTCTTTCTTCTTTTTCCTCTACCATCTCCTCCTCACTATCACTGCAAATAAGTGCTTCTCCACCATTTTGATCATAATAAATTCGCCTTCGACCTACTACTGACTGATCCTCAGTCATTCTTTGATTTCTGTGCCAGAATCGATATGTTCAATAAATATCTTCAAAAAATAATTTTATGTACATTTACTCACATTTTGAATTTATGAAATTACATTGTACTGGAATAAAGAAAAAAGCAAAGAGTTCAGTGCGATAAAGAAATTGAAGAGAAGGAAGAGGTGTGCTTGAGTGCTCCAGGAGAAAAATCAAAAAATAATTATATTGATTAAATAAAAATTCTTGAAATGCTTTCTCTCCTGTCAGTTTCCTGTAAAACACCCAGCTCAGAATACAAGGATAAACTTGTCCAACAGATGGAGATATGAATTATAATGCAGTCCACTAAACTAGTTAACCATCAATAAAAAAGCACCCCCCAAAAAAACAAAAAAACAGACTCTTGACCACTGCACTTCTTGACAATCAATCAACTTCCTCACCAGTTACAGCTCTCCATTGGTTAGAACTCTCTGTAGGTAGCCCTTTCCAGAAATGTCTACTGGCAACTCTAATATTAATTGATGGGCACTTAAATAAGGTGAGAAACTTTCCCTCAAAAGCTATCAATTGAGACGGAAAATCGACCCTACTTGAATTTCTCAGAGCATCCCACACAATAATGTAGGACCTGATATCTCAAAATACCTTTAGTCCCCATCAAATTGTCAAATACATGCGGATATGAATTATAATTCGGTCCACTAGACTTATTAATCATCAACAGAAAAAGGGGCAGAAAAGGTTATTCTCCCTAGCTGAGACAGGAAATGCAATATATCACAACAAACCTGTCCAGAAAAATCCATGTAGTGTAAGGAGGTAATCTTTTTACTTCAGGTAGTTTAACAGGACGAACAGCATTTTTTACAGCCACATTAGAACCTAGAAGAACAGCTGTAGAAGCATGGTTATCCTCATGATAGCCATTGCTCTCCTTATCTCCTTTACTTGCATGAATATCATTGTGCATAGCAATTGCATCTTGTTGCCTCCTGGTCAGTAGGTCCAGACTTCTCTGTGTGCCAGTACTGCTGCAGGATCTTCTTTCCATGGATAACTTGTGGAGGTGGTTTGTAACAACGACCAGCTTTGCTTTACTTTCTTCCATTGTTTTCTGATATACAAGCACATGTAAATTCAATGGGTCACAGCTAGTGAGAAATGTTCAAGAAGTCCAAATAAAACCATGATGAATTACAATTATGGGTAAGCTATTAAACCTTTATGGAAATGCCCCTCTCAGCAGCAACTTGTTTTTTCAAGGAATCAATAACCGATTGCACGTCCTTAGGAGTACAACCTGTGTCTTGCTCCCTCTTTGTCTGTATAAAAAAATTAGAAAAAATTAACTTACTTCATACAAGCTTGCAGCTGCATTATTTAGAAAAAGAAATCATATAAACCAGAAATCACGCCAGAAATAGTGTGATTGCATCATTGCGGATGATTCCACAGGGAGGGGGGGAAAAAAACAAATAAGGCAGTTATAGCAGAACGAGTGACTGGATTCTACTGACGCAATCACCATGGTGCCCGGTTAGAAATTACTTGCAAATGTGCTGGGTGAAGACTGCCTCTCAAATTGGTGATGTAGTTCGAGTTCAACGAATTTAGCAATTATGTTCAGTACATTTTTCTCACTACCTATCCTGATGTCATAGGCATGCATGTTCTTAGACATGAAATATCAAGTTGCCAACAAAGTTAGATGACGTATTTATAGTGTAACTCCGAAACTTTATCAAAGTAATAACCTCGCCATATTTCATCTTCAAAAGACTTGGAGACAAAAATAAATGTTTGAACCATATAATAAATTATGGGAGACTTCATGAAAACATTATAGTCTCCCCTAGATGCCAAAAAGGTGAATTAGCCCTTGAAGAACCTGAACAATCACAATGCAGCTTCAACTCCACGATTCCACCTATCTTGACAAGCATTTAAAGCACTCATCCTCAAAGGATTATTATGGAGTTCTCGCATTGAAAATCTATGAGCCAATATAAATGGAGTCGAAACATGCCCATAAATTATGCAAATTAAAGGCGTCATTTATTGAAGATCTGAGTCTAGATGAGAACATCCACCGAAGTCGGAACGAGAAAAATACCCCGAGCTTAGAGAGGACAGAAGAATGAACGCATTCAAGAGAAACTAAAGAATGAGAAAGCATACCGATTGGCCGTTGGGAGAGTCCGATGCGTCGGCAGAGGCCGAAGGCAGAGGCTTCGACGACGCCATTGACGTCGGCAATGCTGGCGAATCCAATATGACCCGATTCGGGAATGGGGAATCGGATCGAGATCCAGTTAGGATGTTGTCAAAGGAGGAACGAGATGACGAGTAAAATTGGCGGGCCGAGGAGAAACCCTAGTCAGGCCTCCAATTCGGAACTTGTGTTGACGCTTTCAGTTTCCCTCGGGCAGCTTTGACGACCTTTTTTTTCGTCTATTTTATCCACAGTATCTTGTTGTGTTGCTCGGAAAGTGAAATGGGGGGAACACGATTTTGAATTATACACTGTACAAAGCCCTCTTTCAGCCTTCCCTCTTCGTTTCCTTCTCCTGGTATTAGATTATAATTATTATTCCTATTTTTATTTTTTATTTTTTTATTCCTCACATAATTATCTTCATTCTCGTGCTCTTTATACCTTTTCTAAGCCTTTGGTATTATCTGTTAGTAATTAAGGGTCAGTTTTCACAATTTTGTGATTTATTTCCAGGTTTTAGTTAATATATTTAGTTAATTAGTTAATGGTAAGAGATGAATATTCGAAGTCAGCGACAGAATTCTGGATTCGAAGAGTTTAAAGTGCAGGAACGAGTTAAATGAATCAAACCTCGCAGAGAAGATCCAGGAACAAGTTCAATGAATCCACTTATTTGCAGACTGTTGAAAACTGTAATCACCAATGCCATCGTAATTATTAATAATTTATCAATGAATGCTTGTGGTTTTATTGAATTATTTGGATAAAGTTGATGACTTGGCCGGTTTTCCTAGCGAATAATGCGGCTAATCTATGGTCTTGGCGGTGGTAGTTTTTGTTTGAAGTGGATTTTATGAATATCGGAAAAAGGTTTTGTTCTTAGAGGCTGGCCTATCAGCATCATTAAAAGGTATACTTAAAAATTGAAAATCTATCATATTCATTATACACACAGGTGACTTTATTGACTATGATTATATATAGCTACCTTGGAGACATGTGTTTTAATTACTCAAATTATGTCATCTTTTGGCCCCAAAAATTAAAAAATTGTCTCCCCTGACTCATGCACCACGAAAAATATTTGCTAATACAACCCCGACAATTAAATTAACTGGCTGGGACTATTCTAACTTAACCATGGGTCTCGTGTTCGAGACGTGGGAATACAGCATCTTAGGGGCCAGGGGTGCCAACTTCGATGGTTCTTGTCATGCCTCGATCCGGATCAGTCTAGAGTCGTTCATGTGCCTTAAAGGTGGCTTGTTCCAGGATATCTGATGCGAAAGCAGAAAAAAAAAAATTTGCTATTACTACTCTCAATTCTTAATATAAGATCTCGTTTAATTTTTATTTTAGACCTAAATATAAGATCCTAATCTACTTTGTCTATCATATTTATGTATTTTTTTCAATGTAGTTCTTCTAATAATAGTAATTCTAGCCGACACACTTGATTAGTAAGGATATTTTAGGAAAGACAATAGATATTTATTATAAATAACTAATTTAACTTATTTTCTTAATCTCCTCAAATTAGTGCTCTTATAATTAGGACCGAAGGTAGTATAAAAGAGTGATGAGGCTCACGTGTGCCTTGAAACCTGTGTTGTATGATCCCATGGCCAAATTGAAACAAAATCATGCATCTAAAAGGAGATTAATTAGGAAAAAACTAATGATGATTTGTGAATCTTGCAACATCACAACCATGTTACTATATTATCAACCCGTGACATGCGTGAATGTGAATGAATATAACGATGATTCGCGAACCTTGCAGCGTAATTTATATTCAGATACCCTCTTTAATGCAAACTGTGTGAATACGATACATGAATCTTTAACGTCATTGTTATGTTATTATATTATGTATTTTCATAAATGTAAAATTTGCAAGCATAAATAAATAAGTATATGATGCGTGAATCTCAAACGTTCATGCATTTTTATAGACATGAAATGCGTGAACATATATAGGAAAATTGATAAAGCCCCTGTTTAAAGATTTTATATTGCTTATAACGATTTACATTAGAATACTAGTACACTAGGCATATGAAATCATATACGACGTCTAGTTTTTAATATAAAAACTTGTTTGATTTTTATTTTAGTCTTAAATATAAGACTCAAATCCACTTTGTTTCTTATATTTATTTATTTTTTCCTCAAAGTAGTCATTTGTAATAATAATAGTTATACCTAATACACTTAATTAATAAAGATATTTTAGAAAAGATAACACCTATTTACTACCTCCGATCCTAAATATAAGAGCTAGCTGACTGATTTAAGTAAATTAAGAAAACAAGTTAAGTTAGTTATTTGTAATAAATATGTATTATCTTTACTAATTAAGTTTATTGGTAATAACTACCATTATTAGAACGACTATCTGGGAGAAAATTGGTAAACATGAGAGATAAAATATATTAAAATATTATATTTAGGACTAAAATAAAAGTTAAAAATCTTATATTAAGAACCAGAAGTAGTATTATAAATAATTACTTTAACTAATTTTTTTAATCTACTCAAATTAGTCAATTATCCTTTACATTAAGTATTGAAGGTAGTAGATTACGTATACTTTATGTATATAAAACACAATTTTCTTAATCTCGAATAGGGACTTTTTATTGGTTTTTCATATGAAAACACCTGAATGACAGAAATGCAAAACTTTAACCCCAACCTCGTCAGGCTGGATGAATATCCAAGAATTGACCCTAAGAAAAGTTAGAGCTCTATTCACGAGAAAAAATGACTATACTCATCTAACACATGCAAAGTAAATTAATATGACGATAATACGTGAATTTCATGCGTAATGACATAAAAAAAATGATTTAATTGAAGTGTGCCCCTAAAAAGAAAAGGAGAAAGAAAAGCTCATAATGAGACCCAAGGGCCTACGATATTGTGGTGAACGTGAACCCGTATCCATTTTGATTTGGACATTCTCAAATGCGTTCTGCTCATGGACCCTCTGAAGGGTCTTGATAGATTGGGCCTCCTTTTTTGTTTTTAAATTTGCTGTCAACATTGGGCTTTGACCCATCACAAGCTTTAAAAAAAACATACTACATCCGGTCCTAATTATAAGACCTCTTTTATAGCCTAATTATAACATAAAAGAGGTCTTATAATTAGGATCGGAGGCATAAAAAGAACCAACAGGGTCAGGTCTGGTGAAAAGGCCTAGTCACTCATAATATGAAGAACTGAGGTTTGAATTTTCATCAGAAGAGATACCTAATAGTATTTTGAACACTACTGCCTCCAATAAAAAGATACTTACCGGTGCAAAAAAGAGAGGAAATAAAATCTAGTGCGGGCAGTTTTGAGTGAAACAGAAAAACAGGAGGCGAGTAATATAAGGGGGTAGGTGAAAAGATAGCGTTGAAGGCCATACATTATCCGTTAAGTTATTAACAGGAAAAAGGAGTGAACCTTAAAGTCCATCACATTCAACTAACGTACCTAAATGAGAAAACAACCTTGTTTAACTAGTCAAACCATTCCCCATTTGGCCCATTCTTGACTCCCTACAATCCCTGATTATGATTTTCAGGCTCCAATTGCTCCCTTTTCACGCCCTACTAGCTTGTAAAGCTCGTTCATTTATCGTCATTTCAAAGCAGGGAACTCAAACTTTATGATACCATCTAAGTACGTGTTTGCTTTGATCTTCTTATTATGTAAATAGATGTCCAAATTTCAAACTCAGAGAGAGAGAGAGAGAGAGCCACAGAATTAGTCCAATGCCTCTTTACAAATAATATAGTTTTGTTATTAAGATTCTTAATAAAAATCTCTTTTTCTTGTTAATTTCAGTAGGAAAAATTAGTTGAGAATATGATGACAACTATGAATGTAAAAATAAATGTGTTTTTTTAAAAAAAGGTAATACCCACGATATTAGTGCTGATGGTTAAAGGGGTGTTTGGGATAACCCAAAGGTGTTTTTAAAAAGTATTTTTTTACAAATCGAAACAAATTTCTTCACATATTTACTTCTTATATTGTAAAAGCACTTTTAAAACTATGGTTTTCTTCTACCCAAACACCTCTAAAATTACAAATGAAATTGGATCTGTCACTTTTGGCTTATAAGAGAGCATTTATGTCACTATACTACGAGGTGAATTTCCAAATAAGTTGTTACGTAGATTTTAGCTTTTATAGGTGGCAAGCACGATGAGAGCGTGAAGAAACACCAACTCGTGGATCATGTATTTCCATTAATAGAAACCGGAGAAGCCATTGTTGAAGTAACCCAAAAGGAAAGAGAGGCAAAAGCAAAGGAGAATCAGATTGCTTTTTTGGAGATTAAGCAAATTGGCTGGACAAGACAAACAGGCCAACCTTAGCGTTATTTTTTGACCTTCTCTCTCTGTTTCAGCGTTTACATCAGATTCTTAGATTTTCTTGTGAAAAAAGGAAAATTCTGTGAGCCGCCTTTATTGTGTTCACAAGTGTCAACCATGTTACATTGATTATGGACCTGAATTGAGGTTGTGAGATTGAGACAATGTCTTCACAAGCAGCTTCTCCGTTGGGACATTGAATTTAATTCGCTGTCTTCTCTTCTGCTACTTTTGTTTCCATCTTTGGACCTGGAAATTTGCAGTTGCGTACCAATTTCTCCAGCTTCCTATAAAAAATCTTAGTAACGTTCTCATACATTATACTGACTTATCAAAACCTCAAATTAGCTGGATCACCCACCGACTTGATTTGACGTCTCAGTTATAATATGATGTTATAGCCAGCATCCACACACAAAACACATATATATTGATATCATTTTTAGTCCCTATAATTTGTTTTTGTTTTTATCCCTAGATTTTAAAATCAGTGGTTTTGATATCTTTTGACCAAAATCACTGTTTCAAGGATGGTAAATAATACATGTAAACGCTAATATCATTCTTAGTTCCTGCAATTTGATTTCATTTTTGTTTTCTATTTCTGGAATTTGAAATTGATGATTTTTGAACCTTGATGAAAATCACTACTCCAGGAATAAAAATCTTTAAACAGACAAAATGATCTCAAGTTTAGACTAAAATCACTGATTTCAAATTTAAAGACTGAAATTAAAAGGAGGTAAAAGGAATAGTATTAACCCTGTATATAAATTCAATCCATGAATAAGGAATTAGGTTTCTTGCCTTTTTAGGCATTTTTTAATACACCTGTAGCCATTAAGCTTGATATAGACAACAACTTTTTTAAAAAAAAAAATTCGCATCT